ACTAGCACTAGCACTAGCACTAACACTCGTCTCGCAAAAAATGCGAGTCCCAGTTGGGATTTGAACCCACAACCCTCCGTGATCTAGTTGGATGCTCCAACCACTGAGCTACTGGAGACTCTACGGTGAGCAAGGGTCAAATTGTGGGTATTGACTGGAACTACATCATGCGACTCCACAGCCACGTACTAACTCATATGAACTCACTAACAGCATCACGCTGTCACATTTAAGAAGCTCAGTCATGGTGTTTTGTCTTTTGTTTTGGCCACGTACAAAATCTCCTTTAAATGGAAGGAAACTTGAAAATAATAGTTTACTAAGATAGAAAACCATCAAAGAGATAATAATAAACCATAAAGGAACAAGGACGGTCAAGGATGGTGAAGATTGACATGGATTGCAAACGACGAATTTAAAAAATTTACGCTAAACTTTTCAAAATGCGCAAACTGTGACTGAGCTCCTTTAAGGCATATCGAGATGCATCAAGACAACTTCCCAAGTGAGTATACTAACAGACAAACAACAACAACATGATATTCAGTTTAAATTCTGGGAGAAACGTATTTTTGGAAAAAATCCGAGTCCCAGATGGGATTTGAGCCCGGAGTTTTTCCACGTACACGTTTCTCCCAGAATTTACATGTACACATGTATATCATGTTGTTGTTGTTGTTGTTTCTCCGTTGATATTATCAGTTCGTTGAAAAATGCAATCATGTAGCTGTGCCATATGTTTGTAATTAAAGACATTACCTGAGAATGAATAAATAAATTCCCATTTGTTAAAAATTGGTTTTAAAATGTTTTCAAACAAGTATAATTTATTGTGTCTCCAAATTTCTGTGATGCTCGAGATAGAAATCAAGACTGTGCAACCTAATTGTCATTTTGCTAGAATTCGACTAATAATTTATTAGTAGAATTCTAGCAAAATGATAACTGAACATCTAGTATTCCCTTCAAAATTAAATGGTATCCAGTTATTTCTCTACATTTTAAGTACCAATAATATAGTGAAATGTGAAATAGTGAAATGTCGATCACCACAAAGTCCTGAATTATCATTTGAAACAAACATACAGTCTAAAGCCCATGTTGGTATATTCATTGATCAGTTTCCTCCACAATTTCAAAGTTTTAATGGCATGTTGCATATTGGTGAATGCTTTTAGTCTTGACAAATTTCAATACTAATGCACACTAATGGATGATACAAGTAGCTCAACCAATCAAATTACAGCAACTGCATTACAAATGTTTATTATGAGAACATCAACATTGGCAATGAAAAAGGTTCTAGTTCCACTCAAATGATAAAGGAGAAGCCAGTAACTATGTTTTCCATAATGATTACAACCAAATCCAAAAAAAAAACAAAAACAAAAAAACACTGTCATTGTTGCCTCAATGGATCTTGGAGACTATTTTCACCAAATTGAAATCTTATATCATCCAAAATGGTGACCAGAAAACTAAAAAACCACAAGGTCTACATTCATGTTATTGTTTCACGACAATAATCCTAGATATGCAGTATGTGCAAAAAACTAAACTTGCTATGAAACTAGCACCAATTAAAGTCAAGTATTACAAAGTCAAGTCAATGATAGAAAACATCATTTATAGTTGCGACAGTCATACCTTTCTGAGATGTCTTCTGAGAAGATAGCAACTGTAAATTCAATTTCCTCAGATTATTGATGTCTTCTTGAAGTTGCTCTTTCATTGCATGGCATTCCTTTTCTTTATCAACTAACATCTGATCAACTTTAGTCTTTTCTGTGGATAGCTTTTCACAATGTATTTGTAGCTGGTCAATTTGTGCTCGAAGACTTTCAATGGATTCAAATATCTCTTCCAGAGCTTCTTCTCCAAACAAGTCCAGCTCACGAGGGGCAGCAGCTGATATCTCTTGAGTGGATGACTCCATGATCCCTTAGGCTGCACTAAGCTCATTACATTGTCAACGTCAAGTTTGACTTTCTAAAAGATTTCCTATCAGAAGCAAAAATTCACAATTTCAACATTTGATGCCTGTAAGCACATCAGTCATAATTTATATTGAATACAGCAAAAAAGAGGTTCATTGTACTCCAGACCACAAGGAGAAATAACTCTTTTCCAAAACCCACTTGTAAGTGCTTATCCAAATTACTTCTAAGGTTACAAAGCCTTCACAGATATGATGTAAGGACCACAAAGCTTTTACAGAGAGGGTTTAAACAACAACATTAAGCAAGGCTGCATTAAGCAAGGCTGTCAGTTTCTTTTTCTGTCAAGGATACATTTTAATCTTCACAAAGTTCCATATCAGTTTTCGTTTATTTACAGTAGTTCTCAAAGTGCTCTAAGAAAACCAGAAATGTGCTTGTCTCAGACATGGGTCATGAGCCATGAGCCATGGGTCAACCCCACACCAGGAGAATAGTGATAGGTGGGAAGATAATAGGTTAAATTACAGACTGAATGGTGGTACCCAGCTGACAATCCTAGTGCAAAGTTACACTATCAAGAATCAAGCCTATGTCCCACTTCCATTGTTGATTATAAACAAGTATTTTCTAAATTAAATTGATATTGGCTTCAGGTGTTAAAATAAAAAGGGATAGGTTTAAATGTTCACCCTCCAAACGGCAAAGTAGATCGAGAAGCGAGATTAAATCTCTAGTTAGACAAGAATTATCCTTGTCTGGGTTTTACATTTCATATTACGGATTACAGACAAAATTAACAAATGTAATAGGAACGAAGTAAGGCACAAGTAAGCTTTAAAGCTTATATCGAGTTTCAAGTCATGCAAAATATCGTTGATAAGATTTTAATTAATACGAAGGTAAACAGTAATTAAACTGGAGCACATTTACTCTCCTATGTGGTAAAAGGCAGTAATTCTTAAAGTGTTTCTCAGGAAAAATTAATAAAATAAAATCTTAAAAGCTTCGTACCACTCGAACGGATTATGACGATCGGGTCCTTTTAAAAGGGGTCGATTTATATACAGGGTATCATTTAGAAAGACTTATATTACAAAATTTTGCACAACGAAATTAAATGCGACGAGTAGAAGATACATTCAGCCCGCGTATCGAAATTAATCGACAGTATTAAAATTCTTTTTCACTTTCGCGTTAACATTGACGAGAAAAAATAAACACTTATTATCTTCCAAATGCATGCATTTTGTAAAAAAAAAAAATAAACATAGACGGAGCGACTACAGGGCTAAACATTTCCCAATATTGCACGGTTTTCAGAACTAGCTAAGCTTAAACTTGTAAGCCATTCCCAAATTATCACACTCAGAGTGGAAAACCGAAGCATATTATGTCGATGACTAAAGTTAAAAGAAAACCAGGTTTGTGTGTCAAAAGTGATACCTTGTTCGGTTCTGTCACTGTGTGAGCGCCTTGACAATCTAAACACAGCGATGTTTGCTTTCGCTTCGCTTGAGTAATGAATATCTCACCTTGAAGAAACAAGGATAAACAAGAAGACGCCATAAGATATCATCTCCTGCTAGCACAGAACCGAAGAATAACGCTTTTTCCCTCCGTGCCCACAGTTCCTGGAAGGCACTAGATTTTCAGCTTATATGTGTCTTCAAGTCACATGTCGAACCCAGTTTACACTGGCTTGCGCGCGCGCGTGCGTACACGCTTGATGAGCGTTTGTTGTTTTGTCGACCTGGAGTATATTGTACGATAATGAACTGTACATCTATTGTTTTTTGTTTTTTACCACAAAAGCTGTCTGACAATAAATCAACTGTGAATGAAATCGATATCTGCACCTGCCCTGCTCTGTGTTTGCAAATTTTGAAAATTGGCGTCCGAATTAACCAAACATATGTACTTAGGAACCAACCTGGGTGGGTTGGGCCACCCGACATCTTTCACGAAAAATAAAACTTATTTAAGAAGGTCAAAAGGGTTTTGGAAATATAGTAATCCAAGCGAAAAACTTACTTGAATTACAAGTAATTGAAGAACACCCTGCCACGACTTCAACTGTTGAAAGGCATTCGTGAGAGCAGTCTACCCATGATACATACCGTAAAATCCCACGTTAAGGCGGGGGTAAACATGAATTCAACTTAACGTGAGATTTTACGGTACCTCGATTAATTAATGTTTCCCTTTGTTTTTCCTGTAAGTGTATCTTTGAAGAGGGCACCTGCTTGGAAAATATCTCGTTATTTTCATTTCCCTGATATTTGCTTAATTTTGATAAGACGGTACGTAACATATATAGATATATTTTTATGTAAAAAACTGTTTGTACCGTGTGAAAAGACTGTCGACCACTGGGGGGAGTTCTATAAAATAAATTGTGTACAATTAATTCTGTAGCGGTTATCCTTTAACCCAAATTGAGAAATAAAGATATGTCTAAATCTATTGTCTTTTGCGACAACTTTCGTGTTGCGGCCAACTCCACCAGTCCTCTGCCACCAGTCACGAGTCCGGAGGACTTGACGTAATGCAACCATGGATTACGAGTGCGTTTGCTGTTAAATATAGGCATGCAAGACGTGTAAACACTTTTCGGGGGATGGGCTTCCTGTTCAGTGGAGTTTAGGTATAGAAATTGTGGATTAAATACTTGTTTTCTTACTTTATTGCGAGATGTGCCAGAAGAGGAACGAGCAGGCGTGACAAGAACATTAGCCACGTTTCACGCACGCCAGCCAGGGTTGTGCTATGTTTTGACGTTATCTACTGTGCCCCGCCAAATGGAATCTACAAGATCTAACATTTATAATTACCGCTAAACTAAGTAGCAAATATCTTGCCTTCAAACAGCTGCTACTTTACGACAGATTTTCTTAACTTTTATGCCTATAGGAATGCGTTGACATATAGTTAGCAAGCGAACTAGCTGAGAAAGGCAACAAAGTGGACCAGATTTTGACCAGGACAAAGAAAAAGACAATGATATTAAGGCAAAGCAGTATTTATTTTGAGCTATTACATAAATATTTTGACTCCTTTTGCAGTAAATATAACTAATAATTTCACATACATATTCGACTCAAACTCCACAAACAGTACAACTGGGCTGCCTGTGGCAAAAATTCCCGAAGTTGGTTATGATTTAGACAGTATGAAAGTACAGTTAATGACAGAGCGTGAAAGTTAAAAACTTTAGGATTTCTTTTATGTTTTCCTTTTACATCAACAAATTTAAAGTTAAAAATTTAGTTTTGAACCCAAAGAACAGTAATAAAAGTTTCAAAAAAATCCTCAAACACTTCAAAAGATCTGCAGCAATAGGCCACATTCGTATTCTCGGAGTCGGACTGGAACTAGCTTGCAGTGGAGGCTCATTCATTTGGAGACTCCCAGCATTAGCCTCAGTTGCAAGCTAGTTCCAGTCCATTATCAAGAATACGAAAATGGTATATTTGCAGTTACTCTTCATCACAAAATTTGATGCCTAATATATTCAATTGAACTACCCGTTACCGTAATAACCATTTTCGAATTCTCGGTATTGGACTGGAACTAGCTTGCAACTGAGGCTAATGCAGGGAGTCCTTTCAAATGCAAATGACAATCATATCTTTAGAATGATATTCTCCCGCATGAGCCTCTATTGCATGCTAGTTCCAGTCCAATACCGAGAATACGAAAATGGTCTATTACGTTGCGTGAGAAATGCTTGTTTCGTTTAAAATTGCGAATCTGCACAAGTGGTTCTCTAATTGTCGGCTGTTCGCTGATAGACCACTACCGTTATTGTGCTCTCCTTTTCGTTTATAAGGAAAACAATTCATTATGTTTGACTTAAAAATACCTCAAATTGTACGTGAGCGAGGGTCAACTCACGGAAAATTGGCCGGGCACGTGATCCAATTGTTAAATAGTCTGCAACAATTATAAGCTGTGTTTTTATCATTTTCTAAATGGCATCCACAAAGAAGTTGTGGCTTTAAGCTTATTTAGCAAACAAATTTTCAATATAGTTCAAGACGCAATTTTATCAAGTGTGAATCAATAACCACAAGTGGCTCGGCTTATCCAGATTGTAGTTAGTAAAATTTAGCTTCCTCCAGTAGTTGTGGCTTAAGATTCCCCATGTGATTTTAAATTCAGAGTCCCAAGGCCTATTAATCATCCTTCTTGGAAGATGCTTCCTCTGCCGTTCTGACAACACAATGCCGAGGAAACCAGCCCTTTTCTTTGCCGACGACTTCATCTGTGTTTTCTGTACACAAACACCATAAAATAAAGTTCAGAATTAAGTCAGCTTCATCACTCAAGAGAAATTAGCACATATATGTACAACTTGGAAAAAGGATCGGTGTGCCAGAGGAGAACTTAAAATACTCAATTTGATGTGGCAGTTGAAATTGTTCCCATAAACACTTATTTATACGAAACTGTCCCAGCTACTGTCTACTTTCACTGCAGCTGCATTTCCGCTGTTGATCTTTCAGGGTACAAAATTGGAGCCGAGTCCGACCCCAGTCACGTCTAAATAAATGTACAGCCAAGGCAGCTATTTCTTTTGCCGTTGGCATAGCTGCTCTGTTACCGGGCAAAACGCGCGTGGACCGTGGTCAAGCCAATGACGACAGACGTATTGATTTTGCTGTCAATCGGAGGTAACCGCGCACGTGAACTTGGTTCGCGACTTTTCCCCGCGCTTTGAAGGTTGTAATGCAAGATGTGATTGGTTCATCACGGTGTTTAGGTGCATTGTGATTGGCCAGATTTGATTACTGTCACTATTTATGGTTAAACGAGAAAACTTACCGGCAGATGGTGAATTAGAGCGTAACTTTTCACCATAAAGCCATCGCCTGTCAACAAAACAGAATTTACAATGAACTTGAAGACGGAGAGCAGGAGAGATGACATGAAGGACTTCGAAGCTTCACGCAATTAATGCTCAGCTGGCGAGGGGTAATAAGCTGTGATATTCTTTGTCGCTTCATGATTTGTTAACTAAGCTTACCAGAGAAATCATAACGAAAGGTGTATCTTGAAAAATGTGAACCTAAATTTCTCAATTTTCGTCTTTATCTTCTTTGTTACTCTTGTTGGTGTATTAAGTCCTTAGAGTTTATTTCAGGAGAAAGTTAAGGTCATTCCACTGAACCAGAACCTGCACTGAGATTTTTGTGAAACTTTGCCTATTGATTGTTTATATTATAGCAACTTAAATTTTGAAATAAAAATGAGGGGTCCCCATGTTCGTTTAGGAGCAACAGCACCTTGTTTATACCCAATAAATCCTTATAATAGCACCATGATTGTAGTCATGATTGCTTACTAAATTCACATTTCCGACGACTGTTTTTTGTTCTACACTGAGAATTGGTTCATATTTATTTGACACAGAGAAATTTATTACTCAATTCAAAACAACACAAAAAAATGATAGGTCACCATACTCGTTTGCGAGAAAATGACGATTTACCTCTATGGCGAGCTCCAGTCGTAAAGAAAAAGCCGCCATTTTTTAATGCGCACGCGCTAATTACGCGTAAAATTATGCGCAGTAGGGATGCGCAATGCAATACTAGGGAATGACCTTAATTGACTTAATATGCAGGGGCTTCATGAACGTTTTCACTAAGAAGGCAAATGGTTTTCAGACAGGCAAAGCTGTTCGAGCTGAACTTTCTTACAAAAAACTCTCCTCTAGATGGCCAAAGAAAGCAGGCAAAATCTTCCTCACAGCCGCGCAATTTTCTCGGTGACTAGCCCTTATTGAAAGTTGCATAAGTGATGGTCCAAAGCAATCTATGTGTGCCACTAGGAGTTACTATGCTGTATTGCCACCGCAAAAGCCATGATTTTTGAGCTGTTTTAGTTTGTAAATGGACACCATTTTACCATATTGCTCTAAAATTAGGTACAATAAACCATAAAAAAGAACGTATTTTGATAAACGTCTTTTCATTCAGCCAGGTTTTCACCTTCAAATGAAACAGAGAGCTACAGAACTAAGAATACACGATTTATTACTAATTAAACAGACCGAAACTGAATGAGAAGGAAGACGACAATCTTAATAATAACTTTATTTAAGTGTCAAATTTATTTAGCTCCTGTAAATGTGCTAATTGGGGACACTGTAAATAAATAAACAAATATTTCAAATATAACATAAACTATTAAGAATCCTAACTGGTAGGAGGCTGACCAGTTGGCTATTTACACAATGCGGTCAAAGAGTTGAACTCGGGACTACCGAGAACAAATCCAGACAGCGGTAGGGCGGAGGATTTGAACCAGGGACCTCCAGGTTTCAAATCCAGCGCCCTAAACCACTCGGCCACGCCGCCTCCAAAATCTTGGTCTAAAGCAGAGTCAGGAATCGAAGAACCGGGTGTCCTGGTAGCACACCCCACCAAAAAATTAAGCAAAGAGTACCTCCCCTTGAAGTGAGACTTAACATTGTTAAGGCAATATGCAATCAGTGAAATAAACTCTGAAAAGTAGAGGATTAATTCTAAACTAATTTGGAGTGTTAGAACTCAAGCGAACTTGACAATTGGATCAATGTTGTTTTCAGTTTTCAGCTCGAATCTCGCCGAGCTCAAAGAACTTTTTCTTAATTTCCGTTGTGGTCCAATTTCCCTTCCGCCCAGAAGGAAATACTTGGGTTTTCTGCTTGGGTTGATTTCCCTCACTTCAAATTACTTAACGCCTAGTCCACACTACTCCGGAGAAATTTTAAAACGGCGTTTCCACTCTGAGAACGCATCAAATACTTTCCGTCCACACTACGCTGGAGAAATTTGAAAACGTAGCAATCGCCAGTCATTTTGGGTTTGTTTAACGTCAAAGTTTTCGAAAAACCCCCCGTTTCCGTCCACACTAAAACGTTAAGCCTGCGTTTCCAAATTCCTCCAGTTTGAAGAGTGTTTTCGAAAAGCTCCGTTTTCGTGACGGATTAGTGTGGACGGTAGGTCTTACCGCAGAAATAAAGCTCCGTTTTCAAATTTCTCCGGCGTCTTGTGAACGGGGCCTAAGATTCCATCTTTCAATGACGGTACTACATGGCAACATTGCATTCACAATTATACAATGAAACAAACGTACGCTCTCCATCGTGTCACTAAGACAATTTCTCCAAGGTGTAGCTTCATGCGAGGCTCTTCTGACCATGGAGTCGATATGCATGTCCTAAGTCCTTCACGCCAAGCTATTATGCTTCCATTATAGAATTTTATCACCGAACAACAAATCTAAACACAATGGGAAACAAACTGAGTTCATTTATTATGGGTAGTGAAACCTCAAAATTACATCGTGCACTTAAGACAAAAACTGACCACAGAAATTCACTTGATTGCCCTAATGACACACAGAGAAAAAACAGTCAATTAGCAAAACAGAACATTAGCCTCCCCCCAAAGCAATCTCAGGTCTTTTTGTCATCTCGTCTACCTCGTCAGGACCAAGATCCGGCTGAGACCCAGCAAGTATGTCAACATCAAAAAGTTCAAGCCCAGGTTTAACACGGACAGACTGAAGGACACAAGAACAAGACGGATGTACTACGAGGCACGAGGAGGAGGTTAGAGGAGAACAGAGAAGCGGAGAGAGAAGAGATGGAGGAGTTGTGGGAGACACAGAGGAAGGCATACGTGGAGTCAGCGGAGGAGGTCCTTGGGTTCCGCAAAGGCAAGAGTAAGCCCTGGATCAGCCAAAGAGGATACGGAACAGGATCAGGGAACAGTAAAGGCAGAACGATAAGGAGGTGAAGGGCAGCGTGAGAGAGGATAAGAGGAAGTGGATGACAGAGAAGGCCCAAGCAGCACAGACAGCAGCAGAGAACGGGAGAGCTAAGGGGCTGTATGACAACACCAGACAACCGAGCAGCAGGGGGCCGAGGAAGACGGAGGCAATAACCAAGAAGGATGGGAAACTTCTCAGACTGAGAGTGAGAGACAGCATGGTGGAGGAAGTGGACAGTTTCACCTACCTGGGGGCGCAGGTGACGAAGGACGGAGGAGCAACATTGGGCATCAATAAGAGGACAGTGCTGTTGTATGCAAGCTTCAACAGGCTCAACAAGATCTGGCGCGCAAAACACATCAGCAGGAAGACAAAGGCAACGCTTTTCAAGACGCTAGTGCTTCCAGTGCTTCTCTGCGGCTGTGAAACGTGGAAAATGACAAAGGGAGAAGAAAAGAAGCTTGACATCCTCCAGACCAAGTGCCTCACAAGAATCTTCTGCATCAGATGGCAGCAGCATGTGCCAAATAAGGAAGTGCTGGAGAAAGCGAGAGCAGATCCAAGAAGTGAGGAGGTGAGAAGGAAGAGGTGGTGCTGGATTGCACATGTCCTGAGGAAAGAAGTGAAAAACGCCTGTGCTGTTGCCCTGGGATGGAAGCCGGAGGGAAAGAAAAGCAGAGGCAGACCCAAAACTACGTACCTGGCGTCGCACTGTAGAGAAGGAGACAGACAGGTCTACAAGGATGGAACACATGAATAAGAGCAAGACAGGCAGCAAATAACTCCCAGCAGTGGAGGGAAGATGTCTGGGCCTTGTGCGCCTCCTGGCGCGAAGAGGTTTAACTAACTTTAACTTCAGGTCTCTTTGTCATACGGGAAGAGGCAAGAATGTCTCAAATATATTAACTCCGAGGCGTGATCCGTACTGACTGCTCCACTAAAAGATGATGTTTATAAATTTTATTGAAATTCTTATATTCTAATTAGCAGCTGTGATTTTAAATTGTAATTCGTAATAATTCTTGTATTGTCTTTTAATTGTAATTAGTAATTGTAATTTTATGGAATGATTTTACTTATCTTTTTAAATTTTGCTTTCCACACGGCCCCACAAGCTTGCAACTTTAATCCTCACCGTGTTTTTGAGCAGCTTTCGATGGGTTCACAACTTGGTCAGGGGACTCTTTACAACTAACATTGGCAGCCTACGTGTAGCCGTACCCAGTCCTCGTAAGAAGGGGACATCTATGCGTAGGGCTGCACATTTGGTAATTTATGGTGTCAAATCTCATTGAAGCCTTTACTTCCTTTTGCAAGCTTTCCTTGCCACTATGACTAAATTATTGTAAGATCCTCACTCTTCAAACAAATTCAGTTTGCCCATTAAATGTTCATCTCAAATGGCGTGATTTCAGTTGAAATTTTAACTTACCGTTCTTTCTCTTTTTAATTTCTTTTGCTGTAATTGTTCCCTCTGGTAAAAGCAATGAAAAACAATAACAACAAAAAATCACACCACACATTATACAGTCAAATCTCTCAACTATGGGGACAAAGGAAAGTGGCTGTTGTAGAAACTCGAAAGCTTTGCTACTTTGGCTGTTGCACACTGACTCAAATTGAACATATAGCTGTATAATCTCTATCATTACGTTTTCTATAGTTTTTTATGTCTTACCTTTCTTTTGTACCTGAATAGTGTGAATAAAAGATTGTTGTGTTGTTGTAGAGAAGTGGATGTTATGGGGAGTTAGAGGTTTAATATTAGACCTTTTTCGCAAGTGCGACATTTTTATCTTTAAAAAATGCTAATTGTAGCATGTAAATAAATAGGCGTGATCAAAATATATCAATAAAAACAGAAACCAAACAGAAACAGAGAGCAGCTATTCGCAGTATGGATCAAGTTTCATGACCTTTTACAATATAACATGGGGTTTTGTATTCACCGTTTGCCAGTCGTTCATGAACTGGACGTTGTCAACAGTTTGTTCTAACAGCTGGGATACACACATACATTGATTTCTTAGTTTTTAATAAAACGGTACAAAATGAGAGTGCCCGCACAACTTTAAGGATGATGTGGTTTCTATGCTTCAATTTTCATGGGTACGCTTACTTTAAAAGAGGCATTTATCACTGGGAGGTGGCATAATCAAGGAGATATGATGTGCACATGTATGTACATTGAAAGTGACAAAGAGAAAATACATTAACATACTGTGAGAGTGTACTGATCGCATCCATCAATAACAGGCCACGTGATTCCATCCCCAACATAATCTTTCCTTAGTGTTATGACCTAAAACACAAGTGTAAATATTATGGAACTGCACAAGGGATCACAGTCAGCTTTGTAGCATTTTCTACATTAAAAATAGTAACAAAAATGTGGGTCAATTATGCCTCAGGGACAATTTTGCTTTCAAGAATCAATTGACACACATCACATTAGAGCAGTTTTCAGTTGAGTGTTGTAAAACCAAAACCACATTAATCACTCCCTGGCCAATCACAAATGACACAGACAATACAGTCAACTAATCAAAACTTGAATAAGTATTTACACGTTGTTAATGTAAAGCACAGGAAAACATGTGTGAAGTCACTATAATTTGATGTGGTTTTACTTCTGATTGGTTGAAAAAGTGGTGTGAGTTCTTTATGCTGATCATGTAGCGTAGTAAGTACAAAACCAATATTTCTTTTTGACACTCAGACGAAAACTGCTGTATGTAATAGCTCAATTGTAAAGCATGTAAAGAAAGTCCTGTCAGATGACCCAGGACTAGTGGATTTTCTAGTTGGGCTGGTAGATTCTGTACGTAGCCTGCCCAATGGGAAAAAGTTATAATAAGTTTCTTGGGAAAATGTTTGAGCAAATTTAAATTACAGAAGAAATGAGAGAAAGAAACTTTTTGGGAGCTAGTGAGAATGACTTTAATCTAGTACATCACAATAGACCAATTTGATATATTAAAATTCAGCCTAAAACAATAGACCTCAGTGCGAGGCTCTGGGGAATAACTACAGACTTTGTGGGGTTTATTCCCCAGGGCCTTGTACTGAGGTCTATTGTTTTATTCTGAATTTTAATATAAATTATAGAAAATTGGTCTGTTAGAGCTTGCCAAAGGGCAAGCCAGAAAATTTGTTTTCTTTGCACCCTGTTATTCAGTTAATGTTGTAACAATTCTAAAATCCCCCAGATGTACATCCCTCAGGTATGTAGAGCTCCACTTGCATGGACGCTACTGATTTAACAGTGAAGATATAAAGGATGTCTACCTGCTTGAAATTTTCTTTCCAACCAAAGTCATAAGGGTATGTAAATGTTTTTCCATCAGGGTGGGGTCTGTTGGCCTAAAATAGGAAGACAATACACCTAGGTCAAGCCTGCACAAGTGACCACATAGACTACAGCTTGCCATGTTATTCAATGCTAATGGAGATTTGACATCAAACAATCAAACCACTCTCGATGATTTTATTACGATTGAGTTGAATACCTCCATTTGATGAAGCAAAAAGAAAAAAGTCTTAAAAGTGTTGACTAGCTAATTTTTGCTCTAACTTGCTCCTTTACCTTTCTCACTTGAGGAACTACTAAAGAGAAAAACTAAAAGGATATTTTCCTTAAAGTAGGTAATGTTAGTATTCATTGAACAGCTGTCATTCCAGCCACAATGTAAAAATGTTAAGTAACTTAATCCAAAAAGATCAACTGCAAATTACATGTAGTGTAATAGTAATAGTAATAGTAATAGTAACAGTAACAGTGACAGTGACAGTGACAGTGACAGTGACAGTNGTTACAGAAAGTGGCTGTGTGAGGTGAGTGCAGGTACAAAGTTGGAAGGATCATTCATGTGGCCTTACAACATCACTTTCACATAGCCTTACACCTGCATTCATATCACTAAGTGGATTCTCCCCACCTGAAAAAACCACTTTGAGCCTCTCCAGAGAAAGTGTCTAATACCCTCCATACTTTGTTGCCAACAAGTTATTATAATTCTTGACTAGCACATTCTGAGAACATGTAACTATAAAACTTTGTGTGCAGGATAAAATCTTGAATGTATAATTTATGCCAGAATCAATCTGCACCTGGTAATAGAGAAGAATGCCAACTGCTATCGTGACACCCAGTGACAAACCAATGCAGAACAGAACAAGTATCACATGATAGAATGTGAATGAAACAACTGCATTACGTTGGAACACAATACGTCGATAAGGACTGCCAGACATCTAAATTTGTTGAGAAAGAAATGAACAGAGTTATTGGAGAAAAGAATAATTACAGGTAGGACATGTTCTGGGATATCAAATGTCAATTGTCAGAAGCAAGTAGTTTCAAAAAGTGTACCAAGCTATGTATTTACACATGAAAACAATGCAACAAATTTAAATTTCACAGATTTAGAAAAGTGTTCATGTGATGACGAATTCCATGATTGTGTGATGAGTGTTTGACTGTTTGTTTGCAAGTTCGTTGAGTTCCACACTTTTTAGCAAGATAAAATTCAGGATATGTTACAGAGAAGAGCTTGACAGATGCAAAATCCATCGCATGGATAAGATTTGCTTTGAACTGGCCACTTTTGAGGAATTTCTAACAGCTGTGCCGCAAACTGTGGCCTGGAGATGTTTGTCATCACATGATCACTTTTGAGAATCTGTGGCTGAAACCAACGGTGCGTATAACAACCTGAAAAAAAAAAGCCCTCTCAAGAGATGCCTGGGATCAATAGTATTATATGTACCTATATCTTGTTTCCCAAACATCCAACATCACTTACAATAGACTATTTTTTCTAAAATTTCAGGTTTGTATTTTATACATTAGGCAATAAACATGTAATTGTCTTACCAAATAAAATTGCTGTAGGAAACATGATATTAAAATAACAGTGGTGTGTGTACATCCAATGGGAACGAAGAATAAGAACAACGTAAATGCTCTGTGATTCAAATGACCCACGCAGTTATTTATCCATGGACAGTGATGATCCATTTTCATAACACACCTGCAAATGAGAGTTTTAGTGTTAAGGTTACTTCCCACCTTCACAGGTGTCTTTTGGGAAAAATTCGTACGTGCACCAGTTTCAATAAAATCCCAACAAACTATATATCAGAGGAAAGCTTAATAAATGTAGTTTACGATAAAAATACAATTTAAGGGAGTTTTTCTTTTAAAAAGTGTCAGGAGCTGGTAACGCATGAAATGGCCAAGGGTTCTTCTACTGAATTTATTGGGTATCAAATGCTGCCACACGAGCAAAATGGCTGCACAGTATCATTCACAAGGCATCAGTCAACAAAAGTGTGTCAGGCTTTTTTGATATTCTTATTGGTTGTCTAGATAATCGCATCTTAAGTTGGAGTAGCCTAAAATATGCAAGACGTGTTGAGCAAATGGATGCCACGTGAAAAATATGTTAAATATCCAAATTTCCCAACACACAGTTTTCATTTCTCATTATCCCTCGAACGTTCTGACTGACAAAATTTCACAAAAATCCATCAAATCTGCTTACCTAATAAATTCACTTAAACTCGATGTATTCCTCCCAAAATCAAATGTGAGATTTTAGCTCGTAAAGGTTCGTAAACAACGCGTGCCACACCAGGAGATTATCGCGCCTTATGAAACCGCAAACCAGTGGAACAATAGGACCTCTTAGCGTCAATGACAGTGGATCGCGATTTCCCGCGAAAAGCATCGCATTGTACCATGTTTTCTATTTTGCTGTTGCATTGAAGGGAAAGACACTAAAACAGACAAAGTAGCCAAAGGCAAAAGAACAAATGCGCGATATCAACAATACCAAATAACATGAAATACGTGCTCCAAGATGGGCGTTTGCCACAAACATTTCCACTGGCGGTTTTGTCCATTTAAGCAATTATCACGCCTTCCTGGTTTATTAACTTTATTTGAAACTAAGTTTTTTCTAAATAAATCAGCTGCTTTTTTGAGATTTTTAAAATTTTTCTTTAAATTGTAAACTTTAGATAAAATGACTGACTTAAATTTTGTCAAGTAAAAGTCTTAGAAAAAACAATTTGAAGGTGGGTAGTAACCTAAAATTGACAGTTAGCTTCAGTGCATATAGAACATTTCGTACGATTTACAAACAAATGTTTGAAGTTATAGTACTGTAGTTTCCTAACCACTGAGCTATGGAGAGACTCACTTGATCTTATCTGGCGAGTGAACACTATGATGGATAGAGGAGAGATTTGCATGAAGCCTTAAATTGAGGTTCTTGGTACAGGAAAAAAAATCCCTCCAAAATTACATCAGTTTGCTGATAAAAGTTACATACAGAGTGGGGTAAATTATATGCAAGTATGCATACTCACTCTTGAGTTATGAATACATAATTACTACTAAACCAGATCATAAATTAAATTAATTATTGTTTCTGACATTGTTTTAAGTACATTTTATGAATGTTAAATGTTTGATTGAGTTATTCACTTTCTTCAGCTTGTTTATAAATTTGTTCTGTTTTTGCTTGTTTGTACCTGTACATAATGCTTTTTCTTTGAAGTAAAAAATGATAAAAAATATATACATTAAAATAGAAATTAAAAGATATTTAATTACCGTTTACATTTACTGCAGTGATGTGCTCTTGGTGCTTTGTAGCCATTGCACACAACACACTTTTGCAAAACGTCTTGCACTTCTTTGTCATCCTAGAAAAAAAGCAATGGTATGTACTGTACATGTATGTAACATCCAAGTCGTAAGAAATATTCTGTAGCTGTCTTGAGCATTGTGCATGACTTAATCAAAAATAATGGTGGCCAAAGATGACAGATTTACAGTTTTACAGTGTGTTTTACAAACTTTTCACAAACGGTTTCTTTAGTTTGTTCAAAATCCCCGAAGTTCGCTACAAACTTAGCAATTTCATTACGTCGTTGTCAATCATATCGCGAATTTGGAAATGAAGATGTGAATTTCATGTGCAGCGAAATTTGCAATTTGGAAAGTTTGAGTTGCTTGGCCCTCATTCCAGTTCTTGTCTTATTATCTTTGATTATGGCAGACTTGTCGAATTGGATGGTTACGTTAAGGGACAAAATGGACCAAAAAAACACATCTTCAGTTAATTTTATAAACACTCTCTGCAAATAAATTTACGAGTAAGCTTTAACTAAAACTTCTTACTTTGGATCAAGTCGATAAGATGTTTTCAAAGGAACTAAGCTTACCTTTAGGTGCTTGCTGATGTATCAAGTACTGTAGATTTCCTAAAGGAAGAATTGCCATTGCCAATTAGAGGGAAGAGAGCAGAGGGAAGAACAATCGATTGAACGTCTTAACCCAACCAAGAAAAGAATGCAGTCGAATGTGGAAATGTGCCAGGCAAATTGTAACAATGTGGTACTTGAATGAATTACTGCTTACACAGGCCGCGTGCAATTCATTTTTATTGTCAGAACTTAAACTTGGACTTGAATGGTGCCGTTTTCTCTTTTTAATCTTTTTACTCTCGCATTTGCATTTTCTCCGTCGGTAATCATCGTTTATTTCTGAAATGTAAATTATTTGAGAGGTACAGGGGAACTCCATCATCACAGACTGATGGCGTGATTTGTGTCTGGTTTTCAGTAGAAATGTAAATACAAATGTTAACAACACAACATCGAAATGTTCTGTGTTTTAGTGCTATTTCTAGAATGATGTATATCCTGAAAGAAAAACTCTTTTTTAAGTCAGATAAATTTTTTATGTACACATACACTGTAAAATACTTTTAAACCACTATGCATGGAAGTGACATGACATGAATTGTATGCTATTTTTAGGCAAGTGTCGGCAGTACACCTGGAGGCGCACAAGAATGGCAGAGTTGGAGGAGAGACAGCTCACGTGGCAGGAAGTGAAGCGCACTGCTCAAAATAGTGTCAGGTAGTGGGCACTAGTGGACGACCTATGTTCCAACAGGAATGAAGAGGATCGAGTGAGTGAGTGAGTGAGTCAGGGCACATCTGGGAAATTTTACAAAAGGACCAATGCACTTCACATTTTAGCAAAGTACAAATTACTGAAAACTAGTAATTCCATATCGACATAACCACAATGTCTGAAGAAATTCTGTGACATTCCAGACATGATTGTGCCCAGACCTTGGAAGATAGCCATGATCTCTGCTCGCAACGAATTTTGCAACTTCCCAACAACGTTAGGCGTGAAATTCACAACTTTGTTTCGAAGTTCACGATTTGATTGACAACTATGTAATGAAACTCCCCAGTTCAGAGCAAATTTCAGGAATTTCAAACAAGCTTCAAACAATGTTTGTCAAAAGTTTTGTGAAATGCACTGTAAGAGAAAGAGAGATATCATGAGTTAAATTATAGACGAACACGTTATCACAGTTTTAGAATTAGGCCATCTTAACGGGTACTGTATGTAGGCAACACACAAGAGAAATTAAAGTTTTTGTATGAGAATCTGATGGTAAACAATTTCTTTAAAGTCAATTCTCAACAATTTATGAATGGCAAAGTCAAGATGCTAAATTAAAGGATTGCATTGACAAAATTCGATAAAGGAGAGTAATTTTCAATAACTTTCTCTATGAGTTTCTTTTCTGTACAGTACATTTATTGTGGCATAAAGTTGTAAGCTGCGTGCAAGTTTGCTTTAAAAAATATATAGACAAATGTATGGGAAATTAAAAGCTTCAACTGGGCACTTTATAGCAAAGCTACATCCATCAACTTTAGTTAATGCAATCTTTTGCCTGATATCTTAACTTCACCATTCATAAATTGTTCAGAATTAAATTTTCACTAAAATTCAGTATTTGCCATGAAATTTCATACAAAAACTGTAATTTCTGACACTGTTGACTAACTGTCAACATGGTTTCCAGAACCGTGATAAGGTCTATTGAAATAGCAGGAGCTTTGACATCCACAGCACTGTTAAAGCAGTGGCCATGTTGTTTTGTTTAAACTTACCGCTCTCCAACCCAAAGGCAGATGGCCTGGCCCAAGGTAGATTGATTTCAGAAAGTAATTCATTATCAGAAACATCCAAGTAAGAAAAAAAGCCAAGTGAATCACGCTTGCAATGGACGTCCACGGAGGAAACCATAGTAAGGTGCAGTAAAGTCCACAAAGAAACAGCGTGATAATAATTGATAAGGCCACAAGGGGACCCCAGTGACAGATACCTCCGCTCATCATGAAACGAAATGAGCATCAAACAGACACCATGGAATACAACCAGAAATACAAACGCAAAACTCCCAAGTAACACGCAGTTCTGTCCTGTCCTCACAAGCGCGTGTCCTAATGTACTAGGCCTCCTTTTAGGAATACTTTTTCGAGAACTTTTGGCTAAACTCAAAAACTTTTCCGAAGCCCGGCCAAAACAGCAAGGCTCAACCAAGACATCCCGAGATTCATTTCGAGTTTGTCCTCGTCCCAGAGTGTCCCCCAGCGTCCTTCTTTCGGTGCGGAAATTCAAAATGGCGGTTGTTGGAGAGTGACGCAGTGTACGATCGAAATGGCGGGAATTCCTTCTGCTGAGGTAGCTTCCCAGGTGCCGTTCTATGATTTGTGTTCCTTGTTGGAAAAGATAGCAGTTACGTCAGGAACTGAAAAGAAGAAGAAGATTTTGGCCACGTTCGTCAGTTCTTGGAGGGATGCACACGGAAAACTCCATGGGGCTTCCAAAACAGTTGAGTATGGTCTTTCAATTTGTGGTCCCGTTAACTTTAAATTTCCTTAGTGGTGAAACGCATAGTTAGGGGAAATTTGTTTTTAAAGAGGATACCTATGATAATTTTGCACCCCTAGCTAGTAAGGCTAGTACAAGACGGTACACTGTATGCTGCAAAGACTTGCGGCTGAACACAGGAATTCCAGGAAGGAATTGCACTACTGCGCTAAAATGCGCTCTGGGTAGCATTATTACCAATTTTGTTGGCCTAAAAAGCACTCCAGTTAGTTTAAGCTAGATAAAAGAATTGTACCCTTCAAAATTTAATAGGTGCTATATGACAATTCTATGTAGCTGCATGTTTGCAAGAGATGTCTGCCACATAACTGCCACAAGGGGGGGAGCAACCTCTTTCCCAGGGTCTCTCATCTTTCCGCCCCCTGGAGTGAGCGAAGAGAGACCCTGGTTGGGTCTGGTCA